CTGTTTTCCTTTTCCCAGTATTTTTCTGGGGTACTATGTAGCTCTCAATCGGCAGCTGAAGATGGCTACACCTTACCTGGCACCACATCAGCCACAATGTTTCTTGGTCTGAGACAACCTTCTTGCCTCCAGACACAAACAAATTCTATTTTCAAAGCCTTTGCTTTATATTTTCTTATCACCTCAGATCTGCTCTGACCCTGGCTTTAACTTTTTATCCACCAGCACCCTCCTCTCTCAGAGCCTTGGATTTTAAGCTAGCCACTGGGTCTCTCATATCCTGAGGTAAATAAACAGGAATTTTCCACTAGAGTCGTTCCCTATCTTTAGTCCCCCAGATCTGAGATCAGAAGCCCCACCACTAATCTTTTCGGCAAAAGCTCTAGCAGGTCACCTACTTCATCACCACAGACCTCTGACTAAAAGGTACCCCTCTCTCAGAGCCTTGGATTTTAAGCTAGCCACTGGGTCTCTCATATCCTGAGGTAAATAAACAGGAATTTTCCACTAGAGTCGTTCCCTATCTTTAGTCCCCCAGATCTGAGATCAGAAGCCCCACCACTAATCTTTTCGGCAAAAGCTCTAGCAGGTCACCTACTTCATCACCACAGACCTCTGACTAAAAGGTACCCTTGACTCAAAGAAAATTCACTTTCAAGCTCTGGTTTTACTCTTCCTTTTCTATTACAATATAATTGGCACCTTCCCTACCTATTTTCTTAACCAGTCTTATCACTCTGCATCTGTTTTCTCTCTCTCTCTCTCTCTCTCTCTCTCTGACTAACTAAACTCTGACTCTGACTCCCCCCTAAACTGACTCAGGCTCCCTCTTTTAACCTTTTTCAGATCCATTTCTCCACCACATTGGCATAATATATAAATAATATGTGACTTATTTTGCATAACAAGGGGTGAACGCTACAATCACCTACATCCGTTCTCTGGGACAGTGTGCATGTGGGCATACCCTGACCACACTGAAGATGACATCTTCAGTGGGGTGGTGGTGGTGTATGATGGTTCAGCATTACTTCCTTCAAGTTCATACCTCTAGAATTCACATCCTTTTATGTTTCTGAAGTAGAACAAATTAATCACCACAGGGAGGGTAGTAGTATAAAATCCACCAGGAAATGTGGGTATTTTGGTCCTGCTCTGACTCTATTGACACCAGTGTCAGCCTTATGTCAGGGGGACAATAGGAAAAGTATGGCATCATAGGCTGAAGGAGAGCTCAGTGTGGACAAGCTCTATCTTTAAGGAATACTGATTAAATATTATTAAATGACTGTAATATATTATTTATTTTTTTCAATTCTAGAATGTAAGGTATGCAACATGAAAGTTCTTCAAAATATTGACATAAAAACAAAATCTCTCAGTGAGAATTGAAATATGTTAATATTGTCTTTTCTTCTCTTATTTCATACTTTTAGCTGTATAACATGTTTCCTGCACTTGGCTTTCTGTTTCGTGCTCATAAGATCATCCTTAATAACAGAGATGAGTTGCACGCCTTTATAACTGCCACGTTCTTAAACCACCTAGAAGATCTGGACAAAAACGATCAGCGGAGCTTGATTGATACATTTCTCATCCAACAGCAAGAGGTAATGGAATTGTTTTACTAGGTATGGAACCAAGAGTGCTTTTTTTGTTAGAAAAACTACAATCACTTTTTTAAATTATTTCTTTATTTGTTTATTGGATTTTTACCCCACCCCTCTAGACCATGTCTACTCTTTTTAAATATTGAGTGGTGTTTAATTATTGCTGCATGAGAGTGCAACAGAGCAAATGATCATTCCATAAAGCTACTCAAAAACTGGGGCTACCCCAATCAAAAAATTGTAACTTGTGATCAGCAGACCATCTCCTCAGTGTTATATTTGGGTATATTTGTGCAAACGATTTTTGAATTATTATTTTTAGAAAACTATTTTACACCCATCCCCATGCAGACACCGTCAACCTTTTCTGTCTGCAGATTTAAAACAGATCAAATACATTGAAAACACCAAACTTCCTTAATTGGAAAGATAATAGTTGGTCCCAGCTGCTTTTTTTAATTTGGAAGGAATCCAGGAATCAGAGCTGTAATGTTGATTCTGAAAAACTCCAGAAAAGAACTAAGACTTTCTGACTTCCTTATAAACTGGTTATCAGCATGAGCATTCTAAACATAAACATTGTTTCAACTTGAGAACTGGGAAGGGAGATCTTAACCTTTGACCTTTCCAGTCAGGATCAAATCAAATGATTCTCAAGAGGAGAAGTTTTTATCTCCTTTCCGGCCAAACAGACATTAAAAACAGTTTCCATTTCTGGTGTAAAAATTATTTAAAGATATTTTAAAAATACAGAATAATTATTCAGCTCACTGGTTTAAGCTGTGAAATTACTGGGGTTTTTTGCTTTGTGGCTGGAGAGATCTTACATGCTGTTAAGCAGTTTAGTGTCTATTCCACTCATCTTGTCACTATACTACTGTTTGGTAATTAAGGAAAAATATTTTGACACAGAGGGATTACAGCCACATCTAAACTGTTCTGCCTTCTCCCAATAACGATAGTAAAGATCTGGAATCCTCTAGCACTGGGTAATTTGACTTGAGGAAAATTTCTGTAGGAATGTTGCATGTATATTTAAACTTCAGTTTTAAAAACCAAGGAAATTCAATTTCTCAAAATTCCTCCATCTTATGGATGTGGAATATTGTGCTTCTTTACCCATGATTCAAAGACCAGAAAATGGCCCAAATTTACCACACAATATTGTGTGAACATTGCCAAAATGATGCAAAGCTTTACATAGCAAAGAGCAGGTGGCTGGTTGAACATGTAAATTTTTCCCCCTTATTAATTTTTACTTTATTATAAGATGTGTTTTTGAAGGGCCTAAGCTCTTGTGTTTCTGGATTGAAATGAGAATGAAGTTCTTGTCTGAAATTTATATTTGAAATATTATATCTTTTTTAAAATTTTATTTATTTATTTATTTTTATTTCTAAGGAAATGAAAAGACAATCCATCATGTTACAAATAATAAATACAAAGCTATTCCCCACAATTCTCCAAATCCCATTTATACCATCCCCCGTCACCTTTTAAAGAAATATCGACCAACAATCTAAATGCTCCAAATTTTTTCCAAACCACATGTCTCCAAGTTTATTTTGTTGGCATATTTTAATAAAGGCTTCCAATTTTCAGTGAAACATCTGTGGCTTATTTCTCCTCTATGTAATCTAACTTTATTAGTCATTTTTTCCATCAACATTATATGCCATATCTTACTCATGAATGCTTGTAATGAGAGATCTTAGGCATTTTTCCAATTTCTAGCAATCTCTGATCTTGCTGTGCCTATAAGATTTGCTACTAATTCTTTATTTTCTAGTTTCTCATTTCCCCCTGTGAATAATGAAAATAACAATAATGTTTCATTAGTATCTATTTTTTGATTAGTCATTGTCTCTATCCATCTAATTACCTCATGCCAGAATGCTTCTATTTTGGGGCAAGAAATCCACATATGTTCCAGAGTTCCTTTTTGTCCACAATTCATCCAACTTTTATCGGATATATCTTTATTAATTCTATGTAAATTTGTAGGGTATAGATGCCACCGATGCACTACCTTCAGAACCATATTTTTCACATTTGCTGATATAGATTTATATGGGTATTTTTTACAAAATCCTGCCCAAATTTCCTCAGGTATATTAATATTTAACTTTGTTTCCCACACTGTTTTAGATCCTCCACCTTTTCCATATTCTTTCTCAGTAATGCTTTTATATATTAGTGAGGTTAGTCCTCTCTTTTTATTTTTATCTTTTTGAATACAATATTGTTCAAATTCAGTTGATGTTCTTAGAGAGCCAGTTTTTTGTTGTAAGTGATAGCAAAACTTCTTATTTGTTTTATTTGTAGCCAATTGCTTTTTATTTGCTTTGTTTTCTCTTCTATTTGCCTAATAGTGATAGGTTCCCCTGAATTGAATAAGTCAGTAATTCTACACATTCCAATTTGTTTCCACTCCAGTCAGAATCTCCTTTCTTAGGAACTGGAATCCACTGGTACAGTCTTACTGCCTGCAGAAGGAACATTTTGGTTTCGGAAATGAATGGGTTCTGTATTTGTTCTCCTTTTCTAATTATTTTAGTGGTAGAAATATACTTATTTACTATGTCCATTTTCGTTTCACCTTCCATTTCCACCCAATCGGGATTCTTGCAAGTCTCATTGATTTATATATATTTAATAATTTGGTTTATTTGTAAAGCTTCATAATATTTTTGGAGCTGTGATATTCCTAGTCCCCCTTTTTGACCCTGTCTATATTTAACACTATTGATGAATCTTATCTTCCTTCCTTTCCTGCAATGAATTTTTCTAGCTTTCCTTGCCATAGTTCTACTTTTTTTTTGTTCCTGGCTGTAGTGGAATATTTTGGAATAGAAATTGAAATTTTGGTAATATATAAGATTTAATTAGAGCAATTCTCCCCAACATTGATAGGTTCAAATTGACCCACTTTCTCATTTTTCTTTTGCTAATTTAAATAGATTTCTATCGTTTCTGTAAATTAATTGATTAAGGTTTTTTGTTACCCATATTCCTAAATATTTAAAACTTGAATAGCATGAGATAGTTTTAAAATTTCATTTTATTCTATAATAGGAATATTTAGAAATAATAACTTAAATTTTTGGAAATTAATTTTTAAACCGGTATACTGACTATATTCCGGTAATATTTCTTTTAAGTGGTGGTGCTGCGGGCTAAACCACAGAAGCCTGTGCTGCAGGGTCAGAAGGCCAGCAGTCGTAAGATCAAATCCACATGATGGAGTGAGCTCCCATTGCTTTGTCCCAGCTCCTCGCCAACCTAGCAGTTCGAAAGCATGTAAATGCGAGTAGATAAATAGGTACCACCTTAGTGGGAAGGTAAAAACGGCGTTCCCTAGTTCCCTAGCTGGCCATGTGACAACGGAAACTGTCTTCGTACAAGCACTGGCTCTACAGCTTGAAAAATGGGATGAGCACCGCCCCTAGAGTCGGACACGACTGGACTAAAGAAAAATGTCAAGGAGAACCTTTACCTTTTACTATTCTTTGTAATGGGTCCTCCAAAAAAGGAGCATATCTTCTGCGTACAAATTTATTTTGTGTTGTCTATTTTTCATGATCAGTCCTCTAATGTTTCCACTTTCTCTTATTTTTGCCACAAGAAATTCTATTATTAATGCGAATAAGATTGGAGACAAGGGATCACCTTGTCTAGTTCCTCTGAATAATGTAAATTTGTTAGATTCAACTCCATTAATAAGTACAGTAGCACCTGCTCCTATGTATAATTTCTTTAGAACTGTAATAAAAATTTTACCCATATTCATCTTTTCCAAAAGATGGAACATAAATTTCCATTCCACCCGATCAAATGCCTTAAGGGCATCCAGTGAGAGTATTGCTATCTTCTTCTTCTTCTTTTCTTTATTAGCTGTATATATAATATTCAGTACTCTTCGGATAGCATCTCACATTTGTCTTCCTGGCATAAACCCGTACTGATCTGTATGGACATATTTAGTTACAAAACTACTTAATATTTGTGCCAATATTTTTGAGAAAATTTTTTGATCTTGATTTTGCAATGTTATAGGTCTGTAAGATGAAGGAAACATTGGATCTCTTTCTGGTTTTAATATAGCGTCATGTTCCCGGGGGTTACAAGAGCAGAGTCCGATAAGCCAGCCCTATGTCAGGAATTCAGGGAATGCAGAGCCGATAACCAAATACCAAAGCCAACTCACACAATGTAGTCCAGGGTCAGAGTCCAACGCCAAAACACACAACATAGTCCAGGGTCAAAGTCCAAAGCTAAGGGTCCAGAGAACAAGGTTCAAGGTTGTCAGGAGCATGGATGCAAGCCAAAGGTTTGACTCGTTGCTTCCACGGACTTTCAGCTGTCTGAGAGCTGCTTATATAGTAAAAACAGCCCTTGAACTGCTGGAAGCCTTTTCATCCTGTCAGAACTCAGGGCTAGTTGATCAGATGTTTCTGCGGGCAGCCTTCAAGCGATCCTCTGACCCTTTTGTCATAAGTCTTCCCCAAAGCCTGGCCCTCAACCTGTCTACTGGGGGAGGAGAATCTGGAGGCAATTCAGGTGTTTGTATTTCTAATTGCTCAGCATTCTCCTCAGCTACAGTTAACCCTTCAGGTTCCAGATCTTCAACTGCACTCATGACATATAGTTATTATTCTGGCTATATGCCACGACTCTAGTATTTTCTCACCTCCCAAAATTGAGTTGAATAGCTTTAGAAGATGTTCTATGACATCTTCTTCCCATACTTTATAGAAATCAGCTGTGAATCCATCACTGCCTGGTGCTTTTCCTTTCTTAAGTTTTTAAATAACTGAATTTATCTCAGTTTTTGTTATTGGGCTATTTAAATAATCGTTATGTTGCTCTAAAATTTGGTTTATTGGTAATGTTTGTATAAATTTCTTGGTGTTTATGTCCAGTGTTACTTCTGATTCATATAAATCTTTGTAATGTTCTATAAATGTAGAGAGTATTTGTTGCTGTGAATTTACCATTATTCCTTCCTTCGTATTTAATGAGACAATTGTTCTTTTTGCTGCCATCTTTTTAACTGCATGTGATAGCAGTTTAGTGTTTTTATTTCCATGTTCATAATATTCTCTCTTTAAATAGTTCATAGCAGTCTGAATCTTTGCAGTATCCAATACTTCTAACTCTGCTCTAGTTTTTGTTAGTTCATTAAGTATGTTCTTGGTTCCTAGTTGTTTATGTTGTTATGATAGTTTTTTTATTTTACTTTCTAATTGTTCTTGGAGCTTATTTCATTCTTTATTTATTCTAGAGGTATCCATAATAAAAAAATCCTCTTAGGTAGGCTTTTAGGGCATCCCATAGCAATGCTGATTTTATTTCTGCAGTATCATTTATTTCATAGAAATTTTTAATTTCTTTCTTTATTTTTCCAATAATTTCTGTATTTAAACATATAGTAGAGGTCAGTCTCCAAATTCGAGATTTACTTTGTTTTATTGACCCAAGAAAGTTTTAATGGTGCATGATCAGAGGCTATCTCAGGGGAAAATTGTATTTTGTCCAGATTCATTCCATTTGCAATATATTGTTCACCTAACATTGGGTGCTTAATGATCTCTTTCTTGTTTTTATTTTGATGAGTCTCCTGCAACAACAACACATCTACTCCTAATTTTTGAATAGTCTTAATGACTCTATATCTTTTCACTGGAGACCCCAACCCATTCACATTATAAGAAAGGATTTGGAGATTATCTAACATTACAGTCATACATTCTATATGCTATCTTTACGAATATATTCTTTTTCAGTACTTGTCTAATAGATTTTATATATGTTGTGGTGTACAGTTTATAATCATAATCTACTAAGCAAGATTGTCTACTTCCTTCTAATTTTCTTTTCAGTGTCAGACAATTAATATACCTAATTCCCTTCCACCCTTTTCCCCCTCCCTTACCCTTGCCCTGTTCCAGCAATGGTCAGTGAGAACAAGTCTCCAGCTCATGTTTGAGCTGTGCTCTCTGGAGTTATAGGGAGCCAGAAAACTTAACATTCCCTGTAAAAGAACAGTTCTTTCCCCATGCCCACTCTAACCCTCTTAATCTATATGTATATTAATATAACAAATTACAAATTATCTATGTTTGTTTGTAAATATTGTATCTCTTACTTATCATTAAAGTGTTCTAAACATATATTCTAAACATTCTTAAATATTTGTGCTTCTTATCTAAAAATTCTAAGGTTCCTTTCTATCATGTATATTTATCTTAAATAGTATTTTATATTATTTTATCATCATATAAGTGTGAACTATAACAATACAATGCACTAACTTGTTTTATGTTTTTAAATGAATTATTGTAGTTTAATGATAGCTAGAAGTCTCTCTATATAAATGTCCTTCCAGCTATTACTTTTACTAAATACTGGGAGCAACCTATTATCTTCAGTGACAGATGAACTCCCCTTTATGACCTTGAAGGAACAGCTGTATATCTCATTTCTCCTTTCTCTTCCACCGCGCTTGCATTCTTTCCATCTGATCTGCTTGATTTCTCTGTCCATAGTCTGTTCTCCTGGAAGGAGAATATTTAAATATTCAAAAAGATGCTGCAGTTCCTCTATAGTTGTTGCTGTTCTCTGTTTATTTCCCATCATAACCAATAGTCCAAAGGGATAAAGCCATTTGTAGATTATTTTCCTCTCCCAAAAAACTTGTGTGTAACTCCTCCATTGTTTACATTTAGATATGGTCTCTGCAGCAAGATCTTGAAAAAGTTCCACTTTTTTCCCTTCCCTTCATAACTCCTGTAATTTGTTTAAAGTACAGAAGACATCTGGCTTTATTGTAAACAAGACAAATCTCACCAGTATGTCCCTTCTCCCGACCCGATGAACTATATCCAAATTCTTGGGAGTGATTTCGAGGTCCGGGCAAAGTTCTTGTATCCATTTTAAGATTATTTGCTTTAAGTCCTCCCCTCCTGTCTCAGATTCCTTAAAATGTCACAAACCAATATTAAAGTACAGAAGACATCTGGCTTTATTGTAAACAAGACAAATCTCACCAGTATGTCCCTTCTCCCGACCCGATGAACTATATCCAAATTCTTGGGAGTGATTTCGAGGTCCGGGCAAAGTTCTTGTATCCATTTTAAGATTATTTGCTTTAAGTCCTCCCCTCCTGTCTCAGATTCCTTAAAATGTCACAAACCAATATTATAGTGTCTCCCCCGATTTTTCTGCTCTGTGAGTTTGTCTTTAATTGTTGCATCTGCCTTTCCAATTCTTCATTTTTTGTTTGCAGATTCTGTGCCAGCTCAAATGCCATGTCTGCTGTTTGTTGTATTTTGCTAATATTTGACTTCACCTCCATTAAAGTTCATTCTAGAGGTGCAATTGCTCCCTTCATATTGCTTTGTAAGCCTTTTCTTAATTGTTTCATTAGCTGCCTCATCTCATCCTTATCTTTATTAGTTTTTTCTCACCCTCATCCCTTCGCCTTACCGATCGCCTCACTTTCGCTCTCAGAACCCGATGAGCCGGATAGCTTTTCCTCTTCATCTGAGGAGACTGTGGCTTCAACAGGGAGTCCCTTTGATGTCTTCTTTTTTGTCTTCCCCATATCTAGGCAGCTTAGAATGTTTTAACTCTCATTTTATAAACATTCACGCTTAATTGTTTCTTTTCTCAGGGCTTTTGAGTGGAGGTGATCTTCTATGCAGCCATCTTCATTGGCTTGCAGACCACGCGCCCATTTGAAATATTATATCTGACATAATTATTTATGTATAACTTATATCCTGGCTTTATATATTTTAAAGCATTTTGTACATACAGTTTTGTTCATACCTGTAAAACGGTGTTTAAATTAACATCCCTGTGACTTCTAAAATGTTAAATGTTCTCAACAACTTTGAAGTATCTTTGTGTTTATGGAACACATAAGAAATGTAAATGAATGTACAATTAGACAAGCTGATGTCACCTACACTTTTTTCTTTACTTCACCATGAGTGAAAGCAGTGATTTATTCTCATCCTCTAAAGTAAGATAGAGCAAGGTTGGAAGTTACACTTCTGGTGATCAAAACAGCAGCAAGTAAATAGCTTATACCTTGATATCCAGATGAACACTGGTGTGGTTGTCATGATTATCTGGTTCACATTGGTATTTAATCCTTTCAGGAATAAAGGTTCAGTTATGATGGACCACTACAGACTCACACTATCACCCGTCTTGGTAGTTTGAGTCTGTAGTGGTCCATCACAACTGAACATAACTGAACAAAAGAATGTAACTTGAACAAAGCCTCAGAACACCATAACAGTATATAGTGCTCTGAGACACATGTTCAAGTGTCATATTTTTCACCTTGGCCTTATGGATGTCTTCCCAGTCCTTAGCTATTTACCGTATATGTGCCCAGGTACATTTATCACTTCGTTTGATTTAACAAATTGTTTTCTGTTCCAGGAGAAGAAGAAGAAGAATGGTGGATATTTCCATAAGGAAAATCTGAAAAGTCTTATGGTAGATTTATTCTCTGCCGGCATGGAGACTACTTCTGCCACTCTATGCTGGGGAATCTTACTAATGATGAAGTACCCTGAAATTCAAAGTAATCATTTTTCATTTCATTGTCTCCTATTATTCTGGTACAGAATAATCATATGTGTTCAATAATAATAATAATAATAATAATAATAATAATAATAATAATAATAATAATAA